TTAATAAGCGTTAAATATATACTACCATTTTTGACAGATCGGACACTTGCATAAATTTTATCAAATAGATAAGTACATTTAAGACATTATTATAAAACGTCAATTATATAATATATAATGCATTTCCATATATTTTTATGAGAGCACAGTTAAAAAAATACTACTATTTATTAAAATAACTTATGATCCAGATAGTAAACCGTCACATTTGTCGTATTATTTTTAAACGTAATTTAGAACAATACGTAATTTCTTCATAATTCTGTTATCATTGAAAAAATATTTAAAACATTCTTTATTCTCTACCTCTACATTTAATAGCACGTATACAAATTAAAATTTTCTTCCATCGTATAGTTTTAAGGGGATCGTAAAGACGAATAGTCATATTGTAAATAGCACATACAGTTTACGTGTCATCGATACATCACTACATACTACTACATAAATATCTCATGCACACGTAAGTAGTAATGCTATGAGAGTTCTAACTCGGGAACTCCGAGGGGAATGCGGGGCGCGGGGGATACTCATAGGCGAGGGGTATGACGTCATGCGGAGTGGTAGTAAGACATCACAGATTTTGGGGACTGCAGTCACGTACAAGACAACAAAAAAAACATCACAAAAAGGGATTATTACCATGAACAAAAAACAATACAAAAAAACAAATGGTTATAAACGAGAAGTGTTACAAAGGCTATTCGCTGGTATATGCTCCAACCGTTTTTCAGCCAAGATATGGCGTAATATAATTTTTCTAGAAACAATATTTATTAATTATTTTAAATATCAAAATACGAACAAGTTTCATAATTAATCGATTGAGCGCCAACATCTGGCTGCTATCGAAATCGATGATATTGAAACGCAATGTCTCCCAACCTTGATAAAAGACCTTCGATCGTTTATTCTTTTTTTTGGAAAGGACATGACAATCGAACATATAAATCGTTGTAAACATGGATTTCAGTCAAGCAGAGCGCTATCTGTTGAATCGATCCTACCAAATTGCTAGCTTGAAGAAGTGTTTCGCGTGGATAGAAGAGTGCAATGAATTAATTAAACAGCTTGAAGAATGCAATCATGTCAAGCGTCCACGGCTCTCCATTGGATGTAGACAATCTTTAATCGCTACAATTGCACGACTCGAGGGTACGAAGACTGAATTAGAGAGACGATTTCTACATTTTGGTGGTGACTACGCAAGCACTAGCAATAACAGTGACAATAACGCGGAAAGATCTTTTGTTTGACGAGAGATCGATGCGGCGTTTGAAAATCGAATTTTAACCGGTGCGGTAATTAACGCGGACTACTCGTATATCGAGCCGCGATGATTTTTAGAAGACATCAGCAGTGTAGTGCTCGAGCGAGTGCAAGACACAACAGAAAGACACAACTGCGTAAAAGTGAACACCATATTTAACGGCGAATTTGTGACGGGTGATAAACGTGCCAATAAAAGTATTAATACTAAAAACTATGAACTTTTCCGAACATCGAACTTGCGTGAATGGTATGAGCGGCACGTCATCGAACCCACGTTGGCATCTCTCGAGGAATTTCAAGAACGTGACAGTGGGTGGGCGTTGTCGCGAATCATGAATCTTACAGTAAACATCAATAAGTGTAATCCATTGCGCGCAGGATGTCGCTTCGAAGTGCCGCGAGAGATAATGACAAAGAGAGCGGTGATTAACGTACGCTCGATGGACAATGCATGCTTCGCATGGTCGGTGGTCGCCGCTCTGTACCCAGCCGAAAGAAACGCGGATCGCGAATCTTCCTACCCACACTATACGACGGTGCTGAATTTCCAAAATATAGAATTTCCTATAACGTTAAAAGACATAACAAAATTTGAACGTCTCAACGACGTGTCCATTAACGTATACATTATCGAGAGACAAAAAACGCTAAACGTTCTCCCGATACGACTCGCTGACGACAAAAAGGAGAAACATGTTAATTTACTATATTTGCGAGATCCGCGAGACGACAATGTGGGCCACTTCGCATGGATCAAGAATATTTCTCGGCTCATGAGCTCGCAATTGAATAAACATAACGGCCAAAAGTACATTTGCGATCGGTAAGTATACGATTAATAAAAGCGAATTCTTCTTTAAAAATAAATTTTAAAAAACCATTATTTATTTTTTATTTGCAGCTGTTTACATTATTTTCATTCCAACGAGAGATTGCAGTTACACATGGTAGATTGCGTACGTATAAACGACTGCGCTATTCGACTACCGAGCGACGACGACAAGTGGCTGAGCTTTAACAACTATAATAGGAAGGAACGAGTTCCATTTGTCGTTTACGCTGATCTGGAATGCATCCTCGAGAAAACTGATAGCGATCAGGAAGCATCTACGCTCACGTATCAACATCATCATCAAGTATTTAGCATAGGATACTACGTGCGCTGTTCATACGACAATTCGCTATCAAAATATCGATTTCGTCGCGATCCGGATTGCGTTTCATGGTTCGTCGAAAAACTGAGAAGTTTAGCACATTGCGTAAAAAGAATTTTAGCAGCTAATGTCCCCATGGAAACTTTGTCGAGCGAACAGTGGGAGACATTGCACAGTGCGACGCATTGTCATGTGTGCGAAAAGCCTTTCGCACTAGACGATAATCGAGTAAGCGATCATTGCCATTTAACCGGTCGTTACAGGGGTCCCGCGCATTCAAATTGCAATTTAAATTATAAAAACTCATATTTTATTCCTATAGTTTTTCACAATTTATCAGGCTATGATTCACATTTTATTATCAAAGAAATAGCTACAGCATATGAAGGCAGTATAGAATTACTACCAATAACAAAGGAAAAATATATATCATTTACAAAAAATGTTCAAGATACCGCTGAAAGATCAGATTCGCGAAATAACATAAAATTACGGTTTATCGATTCTTATAAATTTTTAAGTACCAGTCTCGACAAATTAGCATCCTTTCTCAATAAAAATGAACTTCGAATTTTACAATGCGAATTTCAAAATTTGCCCGAAGAAGACTTCGAGTTACTGATACGAAAAGGGATTTTTCCATACGAATATATTGATTGCGCCGATAAGCTGCAGGATACGCGTTTACCACCGCGCGAATCATTCTACAGTTCCTTGACCGGTGACACTGTAACCGAAAGCGATTACGCGCACGCTGTGAACGTTTGGCAACAATTCTCCGTTCAAACCTTGGGTGAATACAGCGATCTATATTTAAAAACGGACGTGTTGCTGTTAGCTGACATATTTGAAAATTTTCGCGATAAATGTATTGAAAGTTACGGTCTCGACCCTGCGTATTATTATACTTTACCAGGTTTTACGTGGGACGCTATGCTGAAACATACACGCGTAAATTTCGAATTGCTCACTGACATCGATATGGTGATGTTTATCGAGCGCGGTATACGCGGCGGTCTTAGTCAATGTTCCAGCAGGTACGCGCGATCCAATAACAAATATATGCAGTCGTACGACCCGTCGAAACCTTCTACGTACTTGATGTATTTCGATGTTAATAATCTATACGGGTGGGCGATGTGTCAACCGTTGCCATACGCCAAATTTCGATGGGTCGAAAACATCTCGGACTTTGACGTTAGCGCGATTGCTCAGGATTCGCTCACAGGTTACGTTCTTGAGGTCGACTTAGAATATCCGGAGCGTCTGCACGACGAGCACGTTGACCTACCATTCTGTCCAACGCGTGATAAACCACCTGGCAAGCGGCAGGATAAACTTTTAGCGACTGTGTATGACAAAAAACGTTACGTTATACATTATCGCAATTTGCAGCAGTGCATGCGTCACGGTCTTCATGTAACAAAGATTCACCGCGTATTGCAATTCGCACAATCACCATGGATTCGCGAGTACAAAGAACTTAATACAAAATTTAGAACGCTTGCGAAGAATGATTTTGAGAAAAATTTATTTAAGTTAATGAATAATGCAGTATTCGGCAAAACCATGGAGAACGTGCGCAATCACATCGATGTAAAATTACTAACACAATGGAATGGACGATACGGCGCAGAGACAATGATCGCGAAGCCGAATTTTCACAGCAGAAATGTATTTTCTGAAAATCTGATAGCAATTAAAATGCGTAAACTTGAGGTGAAGTTCAACAAACCGATCTACGTAGGAATGTGTATTCTCGATATATCGAAGGTCTGTTTGTATGAATTTCACCATGAATATATGTTACCACTGTATCGCAAAAAATGTGAAATTATGTATACAGATACTGAGTCTCATATATCGCGTCGAGTGTGATGAACAAATGAAACGTGATATCGCTAGGTTCGATACGAGTGATTATTCTACCGATAATGTGTATGGTATACCACTTGTAAATAAAAAAGTGCTAGGCTTAATGAAGGATGAAAATAATAGCGCAATATTGACTGAATTCGTTGGACTCAGAGCGAAAATGTATGCGTTGAGGGTGGATGGTAAAAAAGATACTAAAAAGGCAAAAGGTGTCAAAAGTAACATCGTAGCGCGAACTATAACGTTCAATGATTACACCCAATGTTTAAACGATGAAATTGAAATGACGCGCCAACAGTCATGCATAAGATCAAAATTACATCAAGTATATATCTGAGACGAAAATCGCTCTGAGTCCGTACGACGACAAACGATACGTCATACCGAATTCAACCAAAACATTACCATGGGGACATTATCAAATACCTTTGTAAGAAAAAAAAGGTCGTGTAATGTATTATATTAATTGAAATGTATTATATTATCG